TCCTCCTGGTGTATTTTTTTTTCTTCTCTGGGAGCCTCCATCTTGTTTCAGATCACAGGCAATAAAGCAGCCTGTCTCTCTGGGTCTATCTCATTCTCTTTCCCACTTCCTGTTAAAGAAATCAGTCAGTCAGAGCATTCAAAACACATATTAAACAGGCATCAGCCTCTCACTGGGGCCAAATCACGCTGTTCAAATGTTGTTCTTCCACCGGGAGCGCAGGACAACTGAAGAGATGGGATCTGCAACATTAACTTGATTCATGGCCGCGGCGACTGAGTGACACTTCATAAACCTCAGCGGGCCACCACCAGGCCCCGCCGACAGCGCCCCGTGGCTAATGTGACACATGCTAGCATTCCACAGTATGCCACACACTCTGAAACACTCACATAGGCAAGCACATACAAAAGCAAATGTATATAGGAGCACTTATTGTTCAGACATGAGACGATAAAGCCTGATGTTAACTCTGAAAGCACCTGCCAACACACATACAGTACCTGTGAATTCACACAGAAATACATCCAGGCTTCAAATCTGAGCATGCAGCCAGGTGTTCAGGACACAGAAATGGCTTTGCTCTGGTACATTTGCACACTTTAAAACATATTTTATGGTAATGCAGTGAAAGCTGTACAGTCATTGAGTTATTGTCTTCTGCAGCCGACCTCTCAGCTCGCAGCACTTTGGCGTAGGCAGTTAGCATCAGCCTCATAGCTCTGTGTAAATAGGTAACCTCCACTGCTCAAAATGCCAACCTCCTCTGGCTCCCTGTGACAGGGCTGACTCCTTCCATTCTCTAACTACAGCACTTGTCACTTGAGGTACAAATGGAAGGGCCTGCACCATCCTGCCAGTGTGCAATGAGTTTTTTTTTTATTGTTATTAGCTTAGAGGAAAATGCAAAATGTTCTCTCTCACAGAATAATGGTGTCCTTCAGGACATTTATGAAAAGGACAACATATCTTCTAAAAAGCTAGGCTTGGATAGACAGCTGTAAGGTGCTCTCTTTTTTGACAACAACACACTAATAATGGCTGCTACTTATTAAGCAAACACTTGGACTCATGGACTGTCTTCTCTCAAATTAATGTAATTTATGTCATATGCAGTAACTCCACAATATTACTGATCACAAGTATTTATAAAGAACAAAGTAACACAGATTTGGTTTATTAAGTATAGTAAAAACATCTGCCTAAACTGAACAAAGTATGCAAAGAAATCCCCCTCAAGATGTCTAAATATGTATTTTTAATTAAATAAACCTGACTTTAAAGGTAAATAGGTCTGATATTTGAAAAGTTATTTGATCATTTAAAAAATATTATAACCGTCCTCCCCCTAATAGACACACGAGTACACAAAATGCACACAGAAAAACTAAATTTCAGCCATTCACTCTTCAAAACACAGTTTATTTCATCCTTTACTTGTGCAATACTAACTGATCTAGATCAGAAAGGGTCAGCACAACATACTGTCTATTATGAGATCCAAATTTAATATATTTATATATAAATTTAATATATGTCATATACGTTACATGCTCATTTTTTGAACATGTTTAAAGTGTAAGCATCAAGATGCAGGCCCTTGCTCCTCACTTGATCAAACTGAAAACCATGAATGTTACAAGACATTTTGGGGGTTATCTTGTGAATGCTGTTTGTCAGCTAATCGCCAGCTGTCACATCCCAGTGAGATACCTCAGCATACTTTACCTTTAGCATTTTACCTTGAGTAGACAGCTACCAGATTTTTTTTTTTTTTTTTTCAGAACAGTTTTAGTAAAAGATTGCACTTTTACAGTCCCTTTGCCTAATGGTATTAAGCTTGGCTTCCTGTGAGATTTCCCTCCCGCAGAAAGGTACAATATATTGTGAAATCAGAGTTGTAAAGTAACTAAGTACAAATACTTTGTTACTGTACTTAAGTAGAATTTTTGGGTATCTGTACTTTACTTGAGTAATTATTTTTCAGCCTACTTTTTACTTCTACTTCTTACATTTTCACATAATTATCTGTACTTTCTACTCCTTACATTTTTTTAAAAAGACAAGAAGTAGAAAGTCGTTACTTTTATTTCATTTTTGCTTGTTTACATTCCAGCTTGTTATTGTAAAAAATAAATACTATCCATATAAATTGTGCCTCCTAGACAGAGTTAATTTAATCGTGGTTGAGTGAGAAGTATAATTATATAAAACTCTGATAGCGTATTAGTTTGTACACAAACAAATCATGTCACACTCCAGCAGGACATAATCATTAAAATAAAAGGACTGTACTTAAGAAGTATTTGTATTTCATAAATTATATTATTGCATTTGGCCGCAGCCCTCAGATAGATTTTCATTTTGGAGAAAAGGTTTGGGCAGCTTTGATATATGTATATAAACTGAAACAGCTGGACTAGTGCATCCTAAATTTAATATAAATTAATTATTTTAATACGACAGTCATTTCTGCATTATTTTGGGGGGAGGTCACCTCCTAATAAATGTCATTACAGAAATTCTAACCGCTCATTTTAAATCAATACTTTTACTTTTAATACTTAAGTACAAAAATATCAGATACTTTAAGACTTTTACTCAAGTAATATTCCTAAAGGAGACTTTAACTTTTACCAGAGTAATTTTTTGGTAAGATACTTGTACTCAAGTATCACTTTGTGATACTTTTTACAACATTGTGTAAAATACAGTAGAAACTTGTATACTGCAGATCCAGAGGAGCCGTCATCAGGATTGCGCTTAATTTGCTGACTGAAGAAGCAAAAGTCTGTTTTACTGTAAAACCTTAATCCAACAGGAAGCATAAAAAGATACAAGAGACCCTCTCTGTTAGTTTGTGTGGGTCTCCTATTTGAATTTGAACTTCCAGCAAAAGTCAGGAGCTGTATTTAAACTAGTTTAGTTTTCTGTCATTTAAACAATATTTGCACATTTGTAAAACACAATATTCATTGGATCTTTGCACATCCTGCTGCTGCCAAAGAACTGGTGGTGACCTCCCATTTTTATTGTAATTATAGCCTGTATRTCTGTGTCTGTGTACACCGGTGAAGAGTATAATGGGATCAAATACACTTTGGAGCATAACTCTGACTTTAGGAATAACAAATAAAAAGATATTTTATGTTGTAGTAGTTTTTCAGCTCAGACAAGGGTTTTCAGAAATCTAAAGGGTCCTTCTGCTGACAGGAGTTTATGTGTGCTTTCACTTTTTTTCTCTATAAGTTCAGCTTAGCTGTAAACAGAAACCCCTTTTTATGTTTCAAAGCCCATGTTTTCCTGCATAGATTAGCCTACAAGTGTCTGAGGCAGGCGCTGTTTAAACAATGGCATTTCTAACACTGTTCTCATCACCCTGGAAACGCCATGGCAACCTGTGATCTGAGAGGGCACAGTGTGGCTCAATTAGCGCCAGCTGTATCTCACTGCTCTCCTATGGCAGCAGTGTCACCATATTCTGTCTCTTTTCATGCATTAGGAGGCACACGTGTGAAGTGTTCTATCACCTTTCATGTCAGTTAAGCTTTCAGTGTGGTTTTATTTATATTCTTTCTCATGATGATGATGATGATGATGATGATGGATGAACACTACAAGTTCAGCAATTGTGCTTAAAGGATCAAATGGGTGACAGAAAAAGTTATTTCATATATGATCTTGTTTAAATTTCTAATTATATAATTCCTGTGAGTGTCAGGCACGATATACAGTATTGCCTGCTGACAAAAACAAAAGGGTGATCATTGCTTGTATCTGCGTTTGTGGGTTGTGTTAGCAAAGTATCTGATGATAGATTTTGGTATGTTAGTAGCTAAGTGTCATTCCCAACTCATACTGCAAGTTCTGAATGCATGAAAGGTATTAATGCCCCTTTTCCACTATTAGTGCCAGAACGAGTCAGTTCAGTTACTTTTCCATTGACGTTCCAGTCCGGTTCCAGTGGGTATGTTTTGGGCAGTTGGTGGAGGTGGTTTTTGGGTTTTTCAAAAAAGAGTTAATGCGCAAAATGAGAGATAGAAACCCATTTGCCACATAAGTTCTGAAATTTTAAAAATTCACTAAAAAATTGAATAAAAATTGAATGGAAACCCAACTAATGTCGCTGCTACTATTGAAAAAATGGCGCATCGAGTTGTTGTTGTAAAGGCAGCTCAGACAAAACCAGTGACTCCACCCCCGAGCCAATCAGTGACGAACAGTGTTCTGATGTCACATTTTGGTGTTGACTGGGACCGCTTGGAACTGCAATGAAGTAGGTACGAAAAAAAAAGGGCTGGTTCCAAAAATCTGGCCTAATSGAAATGGCTTGGAACCGTACAAATACTACACCAAGTGCCACTAGTGGAAAAGCGGTATAAAACTCTGCTATTGGAGTCAACCCTGTCTTGTCTGTTAGCAAAATACTGTATATGAACCCTCTGCTCAGTCTGTCCTATCAAACAGAGCCAATACAGTACAGGTGCTGGTTATAAAATTAGAATATCATGAAAAAGTAGATTTATTTCAGTAATTCCATTTAAAAAGTGAAACTTGTATATTATATTCATACATTACATACAAACTCATATATTTCAAATGT